ATGGAATTGCAACTGCTTACCCTGGGTTGAATTTGGCTCCAGTATGTCCAGAACGGGTACAGTACTCTCACAAAATGCCTATCCCTGCTCAAAGAAGCCATCTCTAAGGATGGGTCTGCATTCAGTGTTGCTCTTCTCAGATAAGGCTGCCCACAGGATGATCAATTAGCACTAAATGAGAAAGTGGTTTTCATAATGCATGTGTTTATTCACTAGAAATGGGACTCAAAATCACCAATACATTCTAGAGATTATACTAAATATCCCACCTGGTTTAATAAATATTATAGTCCAACCTTTGCTCTGCTGAGAATACAGCACGCAATAGGGTGAAGTTCAAGTCCCAGTTCCAATCTCTCAATTTCCAAAAGATATCTGGTGTCCTTATCACCGCCGTCTTTCCAACTAAGGAGCTCTGGACAGAAGTCCGTTCAGACCAAGTCAACATCAACCACTAATGGTCAGCATCCTCAGTGTACACTAAGAGGTATTCCAACCTTCAACTCCTAAGAAATGTCTCCACAGCACTCCCAGCTCAGGCTGGGAGAGAATGGAACTATCCATTGAACCAAGCAAAGATCGTCTTCACATTTCAGAGGCCATCCTTGTCCCACCGCCAAGATGGCTGGATGGCATCAATAGACACCTGTCCCACATAGGCATCCTACCCCATGCACACCGGGACAGAACATCATGCAGGCACCTAATGCATTTGGTGGCTTGTACAGTGTCCTAGCAAAAGGATAAGAACTAACCTAACCTTGACAATCCCAAAGGATGAGTTTCAAACTGCCATCTGACTGCAAGGCCCTTAGTTGAAGTCTCTTTCTATGACTAAGCACCTCCCTTGTGGTCAGGGAGTAGGATCCAACCTTCAACTGAAACTCCTGAGGGGCAGTTAGAACTGGGGAAACTGTCGACAAACCGAGATGAGGACAGTCTAGCCTAGTGATCAGAGCAGACAGTGTAGCCTAGTGGATGAGATCAGAGCTGTAGTCAGGAGCCAAACCAGAAATAGGATCGCAGAACCAAGTGTTGAGTTGGAGTTGGAGTCAAGAGCCAGAGCCAAAGGTCAGACTGGCTGTCAGGAGCTGGAGTGGGAAGAGTGTCAGGCAAGAAGGATTCAAGGTAGGGGCAGGGAAGAGGCAAAACTGGGTGCAAGGCAGAAGCAGTAGGAATCAGGTTATGCACGAGCCAGCACACATTGATGGGTATGAGCACCGAGAAGCCAATGACCTGCTGCTGCTTCTGGCATAAGAACCAATCTGCTGGCCTCTGCAGCCAAACAGGTTGCATGGTTAGTCAGGCAGCCTGCTGCAGGCCAGCTGATGAGAGGTCTCAGGACATGGCTTATCAGAGTAAGTGGGCAGGAAGCATGCAAGAAATTCAAGGCATGGATGTGTTCTGCAGACTTCTGTGAACGTTCATCTGGGTTATACAAATCCCAGCCAATTAGATATAGAAGTTTTCTTCAGTGAGAGTCTAGATCCTGCCAAACTACATATTCTTCTTAGCCCTGAGCAGTCACAGAGAGAGGAAGAAAAATAGTCCCAAGTGGGAAGGGGGTTTTGACTAATGGCTTTAGAAGGGAGACATGTCGGGGTAAATCTTGAGGGTCTTTGATAGCTGTGATTTAAGAGGAAACAGGTTAATCCATTTCATGATCTGGAAAGTTCCCTGGTACTTATGGTCTAGCTTTGTGAGTTGACAGTCACACTTTTTCCCCTTACCCCAAAGTCAGGTGCTCACTGACAGGACCAGAATATCATGTGTAGGTAGCCTTAACAACATTTAACTGCCTCTTGAGTTCTTGCTGGATGTGGGTTGTGAGTTTGGTAAAAGTGGCCATCGGCAATCTAAATGGGATCTCTGGATGAGCACAAAGATGGAAACCACAGTTAGCAAAGAAGGGAGTCTTCTTGATGGAAGCATTTATAGCATAGTTGCATGCAAACTCAGCATGAGGGATCAGGGACAACTATTCATCCTGAGAGTAGTTTAAATGTAGAAAAGATGTTGGTACTGTTCAAGGACCTAATTGAAACACTCTGCCTGTCCATTGATGCCAGGGTGATAGGCTGTTGAGATTAGGTCTGGATACTCAGGAAGCAGAGAAATTCTTGTCAAAAGTGGGAAATAAACTGGGATCCTCAGTCAGACACCATGAGGATGTGTGAACACCTGGAGGTAAAATGTACTGATGAAAGATGTTGCTCACAAACAGGTAGGCTATCTCCTGAGTACAGAGAAGTGCACAACTTGAAACAAAATTTGCCATCTTGTTTAAGTGGTCAACAACCATTAGAATAGTAGTGTGGCCTTGGGAAGGTGGCAATTCCACAATAAAATCCATCAAAATGATGGCCCAGTGTCAAGGTGGCATAGGCAAGGACTGGAGGATATCCAGCAGTCTTGACCAAGCACCAAGGACACAGGACTCTACATAGGATGCAACACCACTGGGTTGCCAAAAGTTCTTGGGAACCATGTCTCAGGTTTTGGAATGGCCTAAGTGACCTGAAGGCAGAGTTGTAGGATTCTAAATCAAGTAGCCCATTCAGGCACATAGATACATCCCTTGTGATACAGGATCCCCTCCTGGAATGTGAAGCCTGTGAAAGTCTGATCCTGGTTGTGGTCCAAGGCTTGACAATTTGGATTGTAACTGAGAGCAGATGGAGGATAACAGGTCAGAGGCTATGGTGCCAGAAAGGAAGTTAGAGGGTTTGAGAATCTTGGATGTAGTCTTCTAACCAGGTTTGCAGTACTCATCCTTCTATGACAAGGCATCCTACTGCTGGTTCAGGTGCCTATCCGTTTTTCAGTATTGCACCTTTTTATGGTCTGTTGGGCTTTAGAACCTAGCACCTTTCAGAACATGGCACCATTTTTCAATGACTGCCTCGGTGCGCAGCAGCTCTTTGTCCAGGATGTCATAGTTTATCTCAGTAGGAGGGAGTTTTCATACATAAAAGGCACATGGGTGAAGCCAATCATTGGGAGCAGCCATTTGGGAAGAAGCTGCCCTGGTGCAAAGTTTGAAGCATCCACTCTACAGTAAATGGGCTAGCAGGGTCTAGATCAGTGTTTCCCAACCAGGGTTCCACAGACCATCGTCAGGAGTTCTGCGAGAAATTGTGGCATAAATAAATAAAAATGTTGAAATACCGCAAACAATTCCAAATATCCCTCGAAATATTGTGGGAATTTTTGTTCAGCAATTGGCAATACTGGAGTAATCTTCATACGTTACCAACTACCTCTTTGTTTTGTTTTGGTAAGTTCATATCTAAGGTTATATTTAGTTGTATTGTGCCTGCCCTTCTGCTTCCCAGAATTCTCTGCATTTCTAGTCTTTTCTAGTGCATGTTACAGTTGTTCACTATTTTGTAGATTTGTAGTCTTTGTGCAGTTTTGTAACTAACGTTTTTACCGAAACTGGTTGTTTTCATGTATCTAAAATCTCACCTACGTAACAGTATTTTCATACGGCTGTCGAAAATAAAAAAAATTTGGAAGTATATGAAAAGAAGGCGTGTCAGTGAAGGAGAGGATAGTGAAAATGAATCAAAATGATCAGAGCCAAGTACCAGTGAAACAGAAAGAGAAGTGACTGATATTAAAAAAAATTCACCTTTACACTGACAGTTACTTGGCCATGGGTTTTACATGGACTGGAGACGACATATATATAACAGCTCTTTACAAATAAATTTTCTTGACAATAATTTAGCAGTAATTGAATTGAGCTCCCCTCTGTCAACTATTTGTGGCCAAACAAATGTTTTCATAGGTAGGGGTTCCTTGGGATATGAAAAATTATTTTAGGGATTCCTCCATGGGAAAAAGGTTGGGAATCACTGGTCTAGATAGATAGAGATGGGAGCAGTAGTGTATTTCTGTTTCTAATTATCAAAGGCAGCCTATGCGTCTAGAAACCATGAACACTGGGCTCTTTCTTAGCAAGGCAGTAAGAGGGCTGACCAAAGTAAAAAATCTCGGGATAAAATTGTCTATATAAATTAGCAAAACCCAAGAAGCATTGGATTCAGTGCCACCCAATTTGTGATGGCTGCCACCTTGTGAGGGTCCCTTTCAAGTCCTTGGAGTGATATAGCCAAGAAATTCAAGGGTGTCTCAACGAGACTCACATTTCCCTGGCTTGGCATGTAAGGGATTCTGGCACATGCTGGTCATGAAGAGTGGGGTCTTTGGAGAAAATCAGAACATGATCAAGGTAGACAATGACGAAGTGGTCCAGCATGTCTCACAATACATTGTTCATCAAATTTTGACAGATGGCTCGATCATTGCATAAACTGAATGGCATGGTTAGATAGGCAGAGCAGCTGCATGGGTACTCAAGACGGTTTCCACTCATCTCCATCAAGCACACACACCAAGTCATAGCTCCCATGCTGCACTAACTTTGTGAAAATACAGGAGTTTGTTGATAAGGGAGCCTGTTTAGGAGTTTGTTGATAAGGGAGCCATGATGAAGGCCCAATAGACAATGCATGGCTGCAAAGAGCCATTTTTCTTCTTGACAAAAACGTTTCAAGAGCCCACTGGGGGTGTTCATGGGCAGTTGAAACCCTTCTAAAGGTTGTCCTGCAATACAGGTGGAGAGCTCAAAGTCTGGGTTTGGAAAGGACATATATAAGATTGAATGGGATCTCAGCTCTAGGCTGGAGGCCAAATGGGCATTCATAAGCCCAATGTGGGAACAGGATGTTTGCCTTTCCCTTGTAAAAAATGTCAGCAAACTCATAGTATTTTGAGGGAACTTGGACCCAGCTGCCAGTGCTGCAAGGAGGACTTGGGGTTCTAATATTCTTGCTGTCAGGGGATTGGGATCTTCCAGCAGATGAAAACCCCAGAGTTCACGCGTCTGTTTCTCAGATCCTGGGAGACACGCTCACCAGCAATGCTGGGAGTTAAAGCGTAGGTCCCCTTCCACCAATGAATGTGGGGGTCGTGGGTGGTAAGGCAGGACATACCTAAAAAAACAGGAGCATGAGCAGACTGGATTCATCCAAGGTGTAGGGTTTCCTGTTGCCCCCAATTGCTGATGATCCCTAGGTCTGCATCTCTCACATCTGACCTGAGCAGTGCAAAAGAATGAAATACTCAACAGACAGACATGCTCAGGGCTCAAAGCTTCTCTCAATGCAGAAGTTGTTCTGGCTTTCACTAAAGTTGGGATGATAAACTGAATTCGTTGAATCGTTACTGGCATGATCTGGCAAATTACAGGTCCTGAGGAGAGAAGGGACCCATCAATAGTCTTGAGCAGCTCTGAAAGGTCCTTGTGAATGATGGAAACCACATAGGTTGTAGCAAATTTTAAGTCCATAAAGTTACCCAACGCATCCAAGCTGACTAGAGTCTCTAGACGGAATTCAGAGCTGACCAGTGGTTGAATTAATAGAGGTACTAAGAGTTGTGTTGAAAACTGACTATGCTGACGGTAGCCCATGGGAACGATGGGGAAAAATGCCAGCTCTGCCTATATCCCCTCCTAAGGGCTAGGGACCTGGCATTTCCCGGCCCCAGTTCCACCCAAGTCTTTGCTAAAGACATCGAGGCAAAATGGCCAGACATAAGCCTAAAACCCAGTGTTGGTGCGTCTCTGAGTCAGAGACATGTTGGTGAATCTGGCTGGCTGCATGTCTAGGGTGTCAGGACGCGGAGCTCGGGGAATGGGAGCTTCCAGAAAATCAAGGTATACTCATAGTGCCATTCTATGACGTAATTGTTGATTCTGATGCATAATTCAACCAGATTGTCCAAACCACGTAGAGGCTCCACCTATGCCTGCAGACTCATTCTTAAATTTCCAATTTAGCCCACATTGAAAACAGTGGTTCTGTGCCGACTCACTGCACCCAGTATCAGAAGCCAAATAGGGAAGTTCAGCACATACTTGGTTATGAGCTGGCCTCCAGGAGGCCTGAAAGGTTGCCTTGGCAGTCTGCACATGGTTGAGGTGACCAAAGATGATGGACATAAGTTGAATTAATTTCTCTAATTGTTCCATGAAAGGGCTGGACCGTTCCAGGAGCAGGGAAGCCCAGGACAAGCCCTCCCTGGTCAACAAACTTAAGATGACCCTCCTTCCCCATGGCCTTGGGCTATGGGGAACAATCAAGTATGTAGGAGGAACAGAAGCCCACATTGTTTCAGGAACCCACAAAACTTGCCCCAATCTCCATCAAATTCATCAGGCAGAAGGATCTTTGGCTCCAGGAGAGGCAAAGTAGGAGGAGCCAGCAAAGCAACCTGCACCTGCAGGGCTGCATTCTGCAATTGCAGGGTGGTCACTTGCACCTGCAGCTTCTGGGTGGCATCTGCCAGTACTGGTGGTGCCTTAGTAGGGTCAATGCTGGCACCAAGAGCCCTTGGCCCCAATTTAAAGGCTTTCTCAATCTGTCAGCAGACCAGGATGGGACAGTCTACCCTACTGGCTGGAACAAGCACAGGCCTAGTGGGGGGCAGGCCCAGTGATCAGCGTCAGTATCAGACAAGGAAGGCTGAAGGCAGGGGCAGGGGAGAGGAAGGACTGGGTGCAAAGCAGGAACAACAGAAATGAGGTCATACAGGGGTAGGCACAGTGCCCAGTATGAGCCTTGAAAACCAGAGAGCTGCTGCTGATAGTTTAAGAGCCAGCCTGCTGCCTCTGCAGCCAATCAGTTACATGCTTAGTCAGGCAACCTGCTGCAGGCCAGCTACGTTGACGAGGCTGCCTGGAGGCTAGATCTGACACGATTCTTGACACAACCCCAAACTACTGAAAATGTGGGCAGTTTAGGGCTTGAACATGGAAGCCACGCCGGACGAATTTTGTGGACGCGGGCATGTGAACCTTTCACTGCATGTTAAAGCTAGACTGTCTCTGAACAAACAAGAATTTAGGGTCTTGCACTTTGGTGTGACAATGAAATGTGTCACAGCCCCTCACAAAGAGCTTCTCCAGCTTTTATTAGGCTGTGAATCACAGTACAAGAGAAAGATCCTCTCCCCAACATCGTAATGCTCTTTTGTTCTCAAAATGATTCATTTGGCCAACCACCTGGAAGATCTCTCTGATCTGCTGGTGCTGCATAGATCATAGTTTAAGAACCAGGGTGAACTTAATGAGACTCATGGATTCCATTTTCAGTCTTGATTTTGCAAACAGCCCTAAAACCCTCTAGAAACCTAAATAAACATAGGGGTTTACTGAAACCCATGCAGCCTGAAATGGATAAATTTCATGCAACTTTATTCTCAATGCAAATCCCTAACAATAGCACCTGAGATGGCTGCTTTATTTCTATGTTGTTTTTTAAAGGACAAAAGCAAAAGGCCATGTCCTACAGTCCTGAAATAGATGTGTCTGAGGGAGAAACCTGACAGGCCCTGATTGATAACCATGCTGGAGGGGGCTGCTACCGAATGCAGCAGCACCATAAGCCCGCTGCAGCTGAAAGGGTGCATGTGGTTTCTAGAGCAGTAGAAGGACAGGGCTAATTGACTGGGAAAGTTTAAGAGAGGTGGAATTAATGCAAAGAGCACAGAGCTCAGGTGTGCGATTCTATTACCAAGGGAAAGAACCATTCAGTTGGAATTGCAATCCATTTTCAGGTCAGAGCCTTTCCCAAAGTCACCGTGGCAGCCCAATGCATGTCCCTCCCCCTCTCACAGGCAGGACAGAGGAAGCTATCCACCCGTGCCAACTGCCCCTTCGTTTCATAGCAGAGATAACCCAGAGAAATTCACAAGAATTTGCTGATCAGCCTTCAACTTTGTGTAGTGGTTGCTTAGCAATGGGTAACCTTGAAGACATATCAGGAGACAGAAGAGCCAAAAAGTGTATTTTGTGGATAAGCTGGTTATGAAAACAAGACCAGTAAGTAAATAATGAGGGGGAGGGGGAAATCTATTTTCAGATCCACTCAGTGGAACAAATAGAGTCCTAGACCAGTTGCATTTGCAAGTTAACAAGACAAATTAAGAGCACAGAGAACACATTTCTTCTCGTCCACTAATTTTACACTGGTGTAACACTAATAATGTCAGTGGAGTTACTCTATATTTACACCAGCACTTGTGACAAGAATCAGGCCCATAAGCTTTGTTCTTGGCTTTTCTTTTCCTTTAAACTTAACTGTGCTGCAAAGGATGATAAGAAGGAGACAGAGTCAGTCATGAGCAATCTGACAAGGGTGATCTTATGCAGTGCTGTGAGGCCAATATTTTGAAACAAGGCACCCAAAAATATGTTCCTTTTAGCTGGAAGATAGATTTTGTGGCCCAGGCATGTTTTTGCCTACAGACTGAGAGTAGTAGGGCCTGGGAATCTATTCATTTGTTCCTCAATTTAATCAAATATGCTCCCTTTTAACCACAACCAAGGGAGTCAAGCAATATCACTGGGTAGACAGCTTAGTTTTAAATGGGCTTGCTGGGCATGTTTACATTTTGTTCCTAAAAAATATTTTGTGTTACATTCTGTTCTTATGCTAGTCTTTGATAGCTCTATCCTAGACTTTCATCCATTCAAGTCAAAGCAGAATCTGACCGACCAAACATATATATATTATCCCAGTGTTCAGTGTGTGCATTTTGAAATGTGGAGGCAAAGTGGGCCTGGATGCTTTCATTTTCAGGGAGGTTGTTTTTTTAAAAAAATGTGATATTTGGTGTGATCTGGTTCATTACAAAGGCAAAATATTTTCACCTCAGAAGCATCTGCCAAAGCATCATGGACACATTCTCTCTAGCATGGATATCTAGAGATAGCAATAAGCTCCACCACTGGCAGAATAGCCTTAACCCTTCATTTAACTGAAGCCCCTGCCAGCAAATCATTGGCCTACTACTAAAAACACAGCACTGGAAGGAAAAAAAATGTAGTTGCTAAACTCTTGGCTCTGCCATTGATTCACTATGTGACCTTGGGTAAGACACTTAATTTTCATGTGTCAGTTTCCCCATCTGTAGCATGGAGAAAATAATACCTCCCTGCCTCAGAAAGGAGTTGTGACATTTACTTCACAAAGGTTTGCGAAATGCTTTCTGATTCTGGGAGGGAAGTGTCAAATATTAATGTTCCATGTGACACACACTCTCACTAATCCCTTTTGTACCATACTGCCTGCAATACTCACTGTAGGATATGCACAGAGAAAAATTCAGCTGAGAAAACCTTAGTATAGCTGCTACCAGTTCAGTCTGAAGAAATCTCCCTTCGCTGTGCTAGTCCCAGTGGACACAGGGAGTCATATTAAAGAGACACAATAACTTACATATGTTCATATATAGAGAATAAACTCTGTTTAAAAATACCCCATTTTAGCAATGCCTCATTTAAACAGCTTGTCCTACATGGGAGCTACAAGCAATCAATACCTCTGAGAACAAAACAATACTGAAAACAAGGGTTTAAATGGCTTGTCCAAATCATCCAGAAGCAGAACTCAGGGACTCTTGCTTCCGGACTCATGCTCTAGACCAGGGGTGGTCAAATACCAGCCTGTGGACTGGATCTGTTCCGCCAGGGTTAGCTACTGGCGAGCCCTCACTACTATATTTACCTGCACCTCCACAGGTATGGGTAATCACAGCTCCTGTTAGCCATGGATCACTGTTCCCAGCCAATGGGAGCTGCAGAAAATAGGGTCCTGGTTCGCACCACTTCCTGCTGCTCCCATTGGCCAGGCACAGCAATCTGCCACAGCCAACAGGAGCAGTGATCAATGGTACCTGTGGAGATAAAGGTAAATATAGCGGTGACAGTCTACCCAGAACTAACCCTGATGAACTGTCACCATTTTATTGCCCACCCCTGCTCTAAACACTGAAGTTGCCTCATTGTGTACATTTAAGAAAAAACATAAAGTGAATCTTGCACTGTGATAAGGATCCAGCTGCAATATTGAAATCTTCTCCCACAACAAACAGTAACAAATCTTAGGTAACCCACCCTCCTGTTCCAGAATCCATTAAACCCTCCTCCTCACTCTGTCTGAGAGACCTGAAATAATCATTTTGTTTGGGGAAATAATTCAGGAAGACCATGTAAGCAAGCAGAGCCACAAACAACAAATAAGGGAGATATACATCCAGATAAAATATTTAAATCGTTAAAGGGTTGCTGCTCCCTGAAGGTTGGAAAAAAATGAAGAGAGTTAATTAAAAGCAATCTCCGCACAGTGCTGGGCCAGCCTGCCCAGATAAATCAACGACTAGGACAGCATCTGTAGAGGCCAAAGTAGTAAGGAAGCTGGGAACAGGAGGTAAGAAAGGTGAAAGAAGCAAAAACAGTTTAACTCAAACTACCAACAAAAATAAACTAGAGTGAATTACACAATGTCCGAGCTATTTCCCTTCAGAGAGAGAGGGGGTTTGAGTCTAATTTCATTAACACCTATTTCACAATGACACCCCAGTGACCTCAAAGAAGTTACTCCACATCAGTAGGAGACCAGAGAGATAAAGAGATGAGATCTCATT